CCACTCGTTTCACGGCCGATCAAGAAAAGAGTGTAGCGCGAGACCTAAGCCATGCAACTGCCATGTTCCGAACTGTGCCATGCTCGGAGGGCAGGGTAGAGAACATGGGAGCAGTGCCTCAAGAGAACGACAAAAGTTGTAGACTGTTATTGCTTTATAAGATAATATCTACAAAAGTACACGTACTGAGGCAGAAGGCAGGTGAAGGCAGAACGTTTGCTGGTATTTATCCTAATGCAGAAGTGGATATGATGACGTTCAATACACAGGTACAGCAAAAGGTGTCATGTCCACTCTTTGGGCAGGAAACTGGACTGCTGAATCTTAGCCCCCAAGCTCTCGCCCTACAGTACGCTGACCGGGGGGGCCGGGGTTCGGAGCCCGGGAGCGCTTCATCGCCCGAACGCCGCGGTCGAGGCCGTCGCGAAGCTGCTGTCGATCTTTTGGAAAGCCCGGGAGCCGCGGGCGTTTCGCACGCGTACGCGTTTCCAGCGCGGTGCACGGCGTGCGAATGCCCGCACAGGTTCAGGGACATGGGATCCGGGATGGTAGGGGGGGTGGAGGAAGAGGGTGTTCATGCGATGCGAGCAACAGGGAAAGACCCTGTGTGATTCATGCAGTGGGCGAACCTTGTGTTATTGGTACCCACAGCCCACAGCTGTCATTTCACCCGCCTTGCCGGGCTGTTGTACACTGGTGCTCCGTCAGGCTCCACTGCGGCGCTTCGGTTTTAGCATCGACGGGCATGGCTTCCCGCACCTACTGCAAGTGGTCAAGGTGATGGGCGGTTTGATGCGGATTGGTCGTGAGTCGGAGTCGTGAGGTTTTTAGGAGGCATCCAGTGATTTCCCTGGCAGCCGCGCTCAACCTTAAGGCTTGCCTTCTAACCAGCGGGACTTGGCGTACTTTGGATGCGTGAAGGTGTGGATTGGATTTGGTGCACCTGTTTCTCACATGGTGCACCTTTTGGGCACCTGGTGCGAGTGGATTTGGTGTCTTCCTATCCGAAGTCAAGGCAGTTTGCCTGGATTCTTTCACGCACAGACCTGCACGAGCGCAGGAGACCGAACAACAGACTTCACAAAGCAACGGAAAGTATTCATTCCGATTCTGAAGAGTGGGCAGGACATTGGGGATTCTTTGTGGATTGAAGAACTCGACATTCAGACCATGCCTTTTAGTCGGACCAAGCAGGATGTCCTACATTTTTGTTTTATGGGATGGGATGAACGTCGGATGAGGTGACATGTGACTCAAATGACTCCTGTGACGGACCTGTGACCGACCAAAACCTTGGCTGGGACACAGGCTGTCCCGGGCTGTCCCAGTGAGGGGTTGTGGGGTTGCTCACGTTTTCCACCCCCTTTCTTTTACTACGCGAAGGGAATTGCGCCGGAGTGAATCGAGTCATCGTCTTGCGGCATGGGCACCGCCGCTGGGCTCAAAGGGTGAGGTCCAACGTGGTTCCGTGGCTGGACAGGCGAGGGGAACTGCTGTGATGTGGTGTTGCGTGTTGGGTGGAGAGAAGGTACTGGAAGGTACTGGAAGGTGCTGTTGGGCATGTTCTTCTCTTTCGAAGACTGATCGAGACACTTTCTACAGGGTCATCCCTTTGTTGAGATGTGGTTGAGCTTTTGAAGGCCTTGATTTGCGGCTCAACTCCTAGGCCCTAGGCTGTAGGTGCCATGAAGTACTGTGAAGCACATCGTTTTTCTCTCAAGACATGTTGGAAAAGATGTCAATCTTGTGTGACGATCTCTTGTGAAATAAAGAAGATCCGGGGTCCAGGCATAGTAACTCTAGGCTTCCAACCACCATTGATTTAATAGCCTTTGCCGAGCATCCATTGTTTTGCCAAGGATTTACACTATGAAACCAGCTCAACCAGTTTAAGCACAGTCTTGGAAGGCTAGGGTCGTCCCCAAACCATCGACTCCTTGCGCTCCTTGCGCCCAAACCACGATCGCACCGATCGCAGCCCGGATGCTCCGCAAGGCCCCCCCGGATGCCCCAGACCGTCCGGCCCATGCGGTCTGCCCTCGTCGGACTGGCCGGGGCCGCCGAGACTAGTCGGGCGAACCGGGAGAACCACCCGTCGAAGCGACCCGTCGGGCGGTTTCACGACACGGTTGGGGCGACTTCAATGATGGTTGTTTTTTTCTGTTTCTCCATTGATTGGAACTCCCGTTCTCACAAGATGAGTTTTTATTCATGATGATGTTCCTGTCCACCACCTCAGAAGATGGCAATCTGGCTCCAAGGTTTTATCTACGATTGACCATTGTTGCATATTGTTGCATATCATGAGATATTGATTTATCCAAAAGATCGGAGCCATTGACGATATTCACTTGATGATTCCCTCTACGATTGCAATCTGGCGATTGTTTTATCTCTATAATTTCCAAACAGCAATTATCACAAGTGCCTGGCCATGAGACCAGGGCATCTCCTAGCGATGGTCGTAGCGATGGTAATGTTCAACTCGAACCTTTCTAGTTGTGCCTCCAACAATTCCTTCAAAAAGCTACCGGTTGAATCTGCACAAGTGCAGAGTTTCTAAACTTGGACTTGGACCATTGGATCCCGAGCGATGATTCCTTCTCATCCTTTGTCGGCTTTGTTTGGACACCCTGGCAACAGCTTTCCTGTTGTGACACACAGTATGTTCTCTTCATCATTGGGTGCAAACTGAAGGCGAATCCGAGACCGCAGGTCCTTCCGTTCTTCTACCCTGTTAGACCTCGCCTGCCGGGTGGGAGGTCTTCAGCCTCCAACTGGCCAATGGCTACGAGGCGGGAACCGCACCCGCACCCGCACGGATCCGCGGGGAACACCCGGCGGTCACGCCGCCAGCCACCGATCGGACACGGTCGGCGACACGTCGGTGGCGCGGGTTTGTCACCACAGCCCACGGGTTCCGGCGGTCCCACGGGTTCCGTACAGTTGACAGGAGGCTTCGGACGTGATGATGGGCAAGAAGATTAATGAGTGGGAGGCCCGGGAGCCTGGAGCCTCGATCGAGGCCCGGGGGCAGGCGGAAGAAGGTGTGGTGTGAGCGCAGCGCGAAAAGAAAGGACCGTGTCCAGACGTCTGTCTAAAATGGGAAGCAACAGACTTGGCACGTTTTTAGCACGGAAGGGGGGGACATATGAGACCCCCGAGTCCCCAAAGAACGGTTCTTCACGCTGGCCAGGGCTATCTCGCCTTGGTATGGTCTTGGTATGTCGGACCAGCCCTCACGGGTCGCAGCTGTTTATTTGGTCAAGACCTCCCGCCATCCCAGCTCGACGGATCCACTCCGTCTCGCGAAAACAACTCCGCGCCCCAGGCGTTTGGCCAGGCCGGTGTCGCAGCGGTCGACTGGGATCGGGGTTGGAATGTTCTCCCTAAAGGTGGACAGGTGGAACCCCACTTGTGGGGTAAAGCCTGTGCACCTCCACCTCAGACTCCGCAGATGATCCGAGCTCGCTCTTCCAGCGAACAGCACCGCTCCGGACCGCGCGGACCCGGACCGCGTGCGCGCGCGACCCCGACGCGGGTGAGGCGTCCATGAGCTCCACGGCGGCTTCCACGTGGTACGAGAGGCTCCCCAACGTCATCGTCCTGGACCCGTCCATGACCCTGGACGTGCTGCAGGCGATGAAATGAGGGGCGCGTTTTGGGGCGGGGGAAACGCGCGTGGCGACGGCCGGAAACGGGACGGGGCGGGGACCGGGCAAAGCCGTATGTAGATCGCTTCTGAACGAGGTGTGGGCACGACCTCGAAATCAAAGGGGCACTGGTGTTGAATACCAAGCAACATGCAATTTTGCCTTGAAGCTCCGGATCTGGTTCATTTACATGGTTTTTTTTCCAGGTGGTCTACTCTTACGTCATGTCAACATTATAGTACATTACCTGGATCTTCCCAGTGACCTTTTGATCCCCTGGCTTGAGGTCACGAACAGGCTTGGAATAGGTCACTAACAGGGACTCCAAAGAGGTCACTGGGAAGCTTGCACACTGAGCTCTCACTGTGGCCCAGTCTTCCACGAGCTTCGTTCGTTTGAAACGTGATCCAAAGCCATGGAAACGTGATTTGTGCTATAACCCTTTATAAGGAAGTTTAACCTTAAGCAGCATAAAGAGGAAGGGGGTCCAAGTGCGAAGAACCAACCATTCGCAACCCTGGCCCCCGGGTCGCAGCCTCGGGGTTCGCTCCTGGACCCGTGGCGAGGCCAAGATTTGGGCGGTGCAGAATGCAACGACCCACTTCGGCACGGCGATGGGCTGAGATGGATACAGCAAGCGCAAGCTTTTACGTGGGGTGTGCACCGGTTTTCCCGGGAGCACTGCAGATCTGCTTGTATGGCAGTGGCGCTTGTAGAGGTGCAAGTACCGCAGTTTAAAACACCTGTACATCTGCTGTTTGTACATCTGCACATATCTGCACATACATGTTATTCTGTTCGATATATATATATATATATAGATTTGTTGCTTCGTCCCAGATCTCATATGCTTTTGAAGGAGTGGCAGACCTATTGAGGTCAGGTGACCCATCCGCTTCCACTACCCTGCAACGGACAGTTTCCATGTTCAATCCAGGCCTTATCAACTATCATCCAACATCAAGAAACGCGACCGTTCCACCGGAAAATTCCACTTGGAACGACCTGGAGGTCGTCCAACTGGGAACCGCATCCCGTGGGTGCACGGGAACGGGTGGCACAGGAACGCTATGCGATCCTCCTGAAACCTGGCGTCCGGGTGCCCAGAGACTGGCAGAGACGGGATGTGGGAGGGGGGACCAAGAGCCACCTGCTCCACCTGGATGGATGGTTTGGCCTTTTTGGAGGACAGAAGGTGTTTATGCAGGAAGCCAGTCGATGGGAGATCCAGTGAGCCACTTTGGGGATCCCGACCGTTTCGATTTCGTGGACCTTTCCGAAAATTTCACCAGACAAATTTGAACGAACAGAACAATGCATGCCTGGGCCATGCAGCTAGATTGATTGGGTGAACAGAGCATCTCAAGACCAGGCATGTGTTTCACACAAACATTGATTGACTCAGTCAAATGGCCGCCATATAGAGAACTTTTGCAGATATTTTTTTTCATCGTTGGTCTGAGTTTTGGATTTTCAGATGATGGTTCGATTTCTGCCAGGATTATCCTCCACAGTTGCTCATCAACTTAGGCAGGGACCGCAGACGGCAATCACTTTGGGTTCGACACTAGCCAGTTCAGAGCTCTTCACAAGTCAAGGACCACTGAGCAATGTGTAAGAAAGGTTGCGATGTTTTGCGCTGTTCATGGCTGAAACGCCATGGGATTTCTGTTTGGCTCGGGTCTCGCCTCGCCGTTTTAGAGGAGAAATACAGCATTTTTCGCAGCGCTCGTATTGAAGAAGCAACAGCTTCCCACGGAGTGTGGGTTCTGCTCAAAATGACTTTGAAGACCAATGAGGAAGTGTCTTGAAGTCACATGGTCTTTGAGCCCAACGCCGGTGACACCACGATGAACATCTGCGTCTTCCAGTTCCTCGCCTGCGAAGTCCGTCCTGCCCAGGCTATTACACCAGCATCATCGGTGTGGGGGCCAATCCGGATGACGTTCGGTCGCCCAGAGCGCCCGAACGTGGCGGACGGCCCGGCCGTTTGCTCGCTTGCTCAACCGTGTGGCGAGCTAAACCCGATGGACCGTCTTTCGGAACCCGGGTACCCTACCCCAATGTAGTCGAATCTAATCGACATGGTCATCCAACGACCAGAATATGGTTGTGAAACAGATG